CACACCCAAACGCCCCCCCCCCCCCCCCCAGCTAATAATAGCTAAAAAGGCAGAAAGAAACTTATATTATCAGAAGGAAGTGGAGAGAGCACATTTTTGCTGAATTAGGCTGAAAAAAGTTGAAATGAGTGCAAAAATGTGGAACTAGCTGAAAAAGCTACAATGAGCTTAAAACAGCTAAATAGTAGCTGAAATTGCAGAAAAAGCTGAAACTTACAGAAATAAGCTGAAAGGATCATAACAAGCTGAAATTATTAGAAATAAGTTAGAAGAAGCACAAACATGTTGTAGTTAGCAGAACTAATTTGAAAGGAGCACAAAACAGCTGAAAGTAGCTGAAAAAAGTTAAAATTTGCACAAGGAAGCTGAAAGAAGCAGAACCAGAACAAAATGTGAAAGGAGCAGTAAAAGGTTGTAAACAGATCTAAAGATATGAAGGATGTAAAATGAGCGCAATTCATTTTCTATGAGGAAAAAAATGTCAGAAAAGGCTAAATGTTTCAAAAAGCTAAAGTTGCACCAATACCAAAAGTCATAGCACCCTTCTCCTGGATGAGCTGAAGGTTGGTTTAGATTTATGATTTGTTGAAATAGCACAAAAATGGTGGAACTAGAAAGTAGCAGCCGACAGGGATCACTGACCAAACTGTTCCAAGGTATTACTCCATATGAACATAATCTGAAACTGCACACGGAAATAACTCGAGCAATAACCAAGTTCATAGTGAAAGACATGGTGCACATTAATATAGTGACCAAGCCTGGGTTTACAATACAGAACATCCTCACGTACACATTTTATCTAAGTTGCTTTCCCAGAGCTATACAAACGATGCAGAAACAGAGTTGCAGCGGAGCTGAAAACAGTGCAGGTTTTTGTAACTGAAACAGATTTATTGGTTGTGTTCGTTGAAAAATACATGAGAAGAAGACATTGAAAAATAATTGCATATTAAAATCGCAACATTGAGGTAAAAAAAAAGAAAATCACAATTAGAATATTTTTCCAAATCCTTCAGCCCTAATGTGTACATATATATAGGTTCATCATGAATGTAGTACTCACTACCACTTTGTGCATGTTGTATTTTTCAAATTTGTGTATTCTGCTTCTTTTTTTGATTATTTCATATGTGTTTTTTCTGTATAATTAGAACATGCTACTGGATGCCACAAATTCTATCCATCTGTCTAAAAACACCAGCAGACAGAAGTGGAG